ACAGAGAAAAAAACAGCTCAGTAGCATGGGAGAATATTCTCTCCCGTGTTGTTCTTGTATTATTGTGTGTTATTCATGTGTTATTCATATGTTATTGCGTTATTATAACACCAGAAATATTCCCAAGATACAATAACACATGAACAACACACAATAACACATGAATAACACGGGGAGGAATATTCCCCATGTTACTGCGCCGTTTTTTTTCTGCATCACGCGAAATATCGTGACGTGATTTCATTGGGTGGGCACGTTCCTCTAAGCAAGTGCCTAGTGATGTAATATTTTCTCCAAGCTAAAGGCAGTCGCTGTTATCGTTGCAACCATCAGTCCTCATCACGATCCATGGCGTCGCTTCTCCACAAGCTCCTCCGAAAAGCCCAACTTCCTTCGCACCAAACCCTATTTTTGTTGAGCAAATTGCAGCCTCGCACGTCCCTTCTTCGAACTTCAATCCTTTCATCAAACCATGATTTCTTCCTTAATCAATGTCCCGGTTCCATGTCCTGTCCTTCAGAAAATGATGCAGCTGAAAACGCGCTTATTCGGTTGTGCCCATCATTTCCACCTTTCATTAGTCTGGAACCGTTTTCCCGATCTGGGAACTTTCAGTTTGATGCCGAGCAACATTACGGCGGCGAAGACGATGGCCCGACGATGTGGGCTGATAGTGTTAAGAAGAAGAGGAAGAGGAAGATGAACAAGCACAAATACAGGAAGTTGAGGAAACGCCTGCGCCGCCAGACTTAGGTGATTCCGGCTTGTTATATGGTCAGAATCTAAGCGGGGAGCTTGCTTTCTTAATTTTTCTTTATTTTCTTCTTTCTGTATCTTTCCTATTGCAATCGAGGCTTGATTTTTTTTGGATTTAATTAAACTCTTTGAAGGGCCAAATTGCGTTTTACAGCAGCTGTTGGTATTTAGGTTTGGCATTCATTGTTTAGCATGTTTTGTGGGCATACATATCAGCTTAAAAAAAATTTACTTTTTCTGCTCTGGTCCATTTCTTAATGTACTTCTGGCTATGCACATAAATAACTCAATGATTAATAAATGTGTTACTCTACACACACTTTTCACTATTTTTTCCTTTCATCGCCTGTACCTATGTCCCTTGTAAGAGAACAATAAGAGGCCTTCTCTTTTATGGTTGAATTTATGTGGTTTGACTTCCATAAAGGGTAAACACTGAGTTTATGATATAGATAGTTCTCATAAGCGAGGCTTCTGTATTATAAAATTTGAACTGATAGGTTCTTTTAGATTACAAAAGGCAAGAATTAATAATATAAAAATTGAATAAATGATATGCATTTCAAATTGATATGAAATTATTTTTTATCATTCAGTATTATTGAATATCAAGTGATATTTAAATTTGATAGGTTTTGTTTCTTGGTTTTATCATACATGGGAACATATTTATGCTTTAAAACTTCTGCAATTAATATTGGTTCTTGAACAAGCAAATACAATTGAAAGTATCATGCACTAAAAAAATGTCACGACAGTGAAAACGAAATTTAAAAACACTATAGTTAAATTGGCTATGCTGTTTGGATCATAGTGTTGGACAATAAAGACATTATTGATGTCCAATTTGAGTGTGGAAAAAGTGAACGTCAAAATAGATAAATTTAAAAAAGATGGGAATATTTCATTTAGGAATATTTATATTAAATACATCATATGAGTATCCCTTATTCAAGATAAGGTAGTTAAAAGTACACTTAGTTGATTAATGCTTGGTGGGTAGTAAATGAGGTCATATGGGTTTTGTAGGGAGTGGATTGGTGCTTGGGAATGCTGGAAGAAAGAAGCAAACAAATCTTTAAATAACTTGGAAAAGAATGTATGTACACTACTTGGAGAAGCATAAGGACTTTGCGTACATAATTTTGAGCAATTTGCATGAACAACGTGGATCAACTGTGGAAGATACATTTAACCTTCAATGATCTCATTACATAATTCTTTCAGTAATCAATCAATTAATCAATCTTGTTACCTAAAGGATGAGATTATCCATTTTCTAATTGCAGTTAACCTGAAGAAAAATGAAAGCAAACACTAAAAAATTTTCAAGATTAACTAGTCATATAAAATGCTTGAAAACTTGTTTTTTTTCAATTCATGTAACCTGATTTAACTATTTTTGGTTGACCTCTGAAAACCTTGGTCCCATTTTAGGCTAAATTGATTGGATGGTTAACCAATTCTCATTGTTTTGCATCAATTCAGTCGGAACAAAAATTTCTTTTCTCGAAGAGTTTAGGTGGGTGCTATGTAATAGGCAATAGTATTGATACATTGTTTTTTGAGCAGTCAACTTCAGCAGGCTTCAGTATTAGTAAGTTTAGTGGCTTCTATGGAGAGCAACTTTAATCATTATGTACTTGGTAGTTTTTGACATCTTTGTGAACTGGTTCAGGATCTGGTGGAGGTGTTAACATTAGAAGCACTATAGTTATCATTAATGGTGGCAATTTTGTTTTTAGATTCGCTGCTCTATTTGTTGCAAAACTTGTCGAAGAACATACAAATGAGTATATAAGTTTGAGAGCATCTCGATTAGGCAATATGCGATAAATGAATTTGCGATCCAATCAACGAATATATGAAGCACAATATCTATAATTTATATATGATAATATAATATAGAACAATCATATTTGTAACTTTTTTCATTTATTGTAAATATGGAAGGATCACTATAAGCCACATGGTTTAATTCAAATTAAAATTATTTTGTTCTTGATAAGAATTACTTAACAAATTATTAAAATTAAGAGCATCATCATTTTATGCAAACAATATTTGGCATGGACTGTGGGAAAATTAGTTTTTTTGAAACATGTTGGTATTTATATATATTTTTTTTTTTCAAAAGGTTTGACAACAATTTTCTTATAGCTGCTAATTTTTAGCATATCTGGCTGTAAAAAGAAATTTCTTATCATAAGAATTTCTAGAAAGCATCAAGAAAGTAGCCAAACAAAGGTCATAATGCAACCATCATAAACCTAGATTCTCATTTGAGTACAAACTTTGATTCATTCTTTTTAAAACTAAGCATTTTAAGTTTTTTTGTGATGCATTTCCAAAATTCTTTTGCAAAACCATGGAAACTAGAGTTAGCAAATTTAAAATTTAATTGCGTATTCATATAATAGATATGAACATAAGCTTATAGGTAATGCAACCATCAGTATGTTTACATTTTTTTTGATCTACCACATTTTCTTTATGCATACAATGATGAATATACCCATGCATTTTATACTCTTTGTCATGATAATTCTCTACATGATTCAATCATAATTAATAATATCCTCTAGTGTAATAATGTAGCAAAGCAAGTTTGATTATGCACTTATAAAGAATAAATTACCTAAATTTTTCTTACCAGTTTAAACTATCACCGACTAATAATAATTTATCTAGGTGTAGCTAAAGCTAAGTGATATAAATAGATCTAAGAATTTGTGAACTGTACTTAGAAGCTCGATGTTCTTATGTCATGCACTTGGGAATGTAAAGTTAATAAGATAGTAATTCAGGCATTAGTTAAAGCTTAAATACCCTGAAATCGTATAATGCTATCAAATAAAAAATTGTTGCGATTGATCATTCAACGATAATTTTGTGAAAGTGTCTCTTTCCATTCAACAAATTTTATGCAATATTAGCCACCCAAACCAAGTGCAGATATTATATCAAGCTTCAAACTCGGCCTCATTTGGAGCTAAATGCATATGAGGCTTAATTTATAATTTATTTTACATTTTCTATATTTTCTTTGAAGTTTTTTTTTTTATAAACTATTCTTAATCTGGTAAGTCTATGTTTATGTAATTTTCCTTTTTAATTGGATTTTTCTTTTGCTGTACTAATCATGACTCGTTATCTTTAATATTTAAATTATTCCTTTTCTTTGTCCACCATTTCTCTCTGTCTTCTATCTAATTGCTTCTTTTTTCTACTTACTCTTATCCTCAATGTGATCCCTAATCTCAAAACCTTCTCGCTAGAAGTCTTTTAACCCTCTCTTAGTACTTCAGTTATATTTATAATATTTTTCTTTAAAATTCCAAACTTTCTTGTTATGTTTGTTTTTTTAATTCCTTACATTTTATGATTAGTACTTTGGTTAATTCTTATAACCTTCTGTTGCTGTGCAAGTTTACGTCAATTCATCTTGAACTTGCGTTTCGTTTCATTTAACAAACCTTGTGGCCATCATTAATTGTATTTTATGAGTGGTATACATGCCATTTATAATTTAAGATGAGTTTGAATTTTTTTTAAATTTTATTTTTGGGTGGTTTGTTCTTTTCTAAAATGGTTTATATCTATAATAAGGGTTTTGTATTTTTTTTATTCACCTAGGGTTGATGATGGAATAAAGAAGGTTTTTATCCTGAATATGATTTCTTTCTTTGTCTATACCTTTTCCGCCCCCTTTGAACTTATTTCATTTTATCCTCTAATTATTTTTTCTCATTATTGTTCTATTTTTTTTCTTGACATTAATTTCTTCTCTTCTCAATAAGTGAAATATAAAATATCAACCAAAATATCTCATTTTTCATCGCCTAGCTCAATCTCAATTTATGCCAGAAATTTTTAAATCAAAAGGGTTCTCAATGAAGAAATTATGAATCTTTGGTTCAATTCTTCTCTCCATACCCAAGGACGAGTTTGAGACTTTGACTCTTCCAACTCTATTAACACACTTTGCTTTAGCTTTCATCTCTCTTTCCTACCTTCATTACTGCTTTCATCATACCAGTAAAATTTTCATCTTTCAATCTCGATTGTCATACCACCGATATCATTGACGGTATTCCAAGTCTTTTTTAACCAATTGGTTGCAATTTTACTTGACTATGATCTTAATCATTTGTTGTTATACCCATCTTGTCAATAGCTTCTTGAATTGCTGCTTATGATATTTGTTTCTTACGTCCATCAACAACTTCCAATAAGTTCTTGCATCGTGCATTGCCTGCATCCCAACGTCATGCTAATGAACTAGAGTGATAATGATGCTTTGAGTCGGTGATTGTTTCATGCGGTTTTGAGTGGATGAGTTCAGTGATATTGTGAGATTATGAGGTTGTCAATATTGTGAGAAGCCAGAGTGAAGCTGGCTTGTGTTATAAGGGTCTATGAAAACATGTTTAGAAGACTCAACTATTAGTAGATAGGCAAGACAGGGAAGGAATCTGGATAAAATCTATGAAAAAGAGTCAGAGTGGAGCTGGTTGAATGAAAGGTTGCAGTAGAACAATGAGGAAAATTGACATTCTTATTTGAAGGTCAGTTGCGTTCAAAGAGGTTGAAAAGAATGTCTTGAGAAGATTTACAAGATTTTATGGCTGACGTGTCAATGCTTTGAGATTTATGGTTGGCAAATTAGGAACAGTCACACAGAGTATGGGGAAATGCATTAGTAGGACAGAGAAAGAGCTTGGACTGTAGGATGTATTATAATACATGTCTAGGATGTTTTTTTTTAGCCAGAATTTTCAAGGCTATATGTGAGATGGTTATTGGAGCTGATGGTGAGAAAGCTTTCATGGGATTTGGGTACCAGTTTGACTATTTGGTAATCGGTTAAGAAAGTGAGCTGGATAGGATTAAGTTTTGTTGTTACTTATACTTATTTATTTTTTTAATTTTTCCTTTGAATTTTAATCCTACCTTCTTTTTTATTCTTTTATTATGAAAGGAGAAAAATGACGGTGGTGATTGAGAAGGGGTGATTGAGGACGGGGATGGATTGAGGAGACATAATTGTCTTTCAAAGTGGAAGAATCAAGAAAAGTATTTTTGTATAACATTTGAGGAAAGATATAACTAATACCAAATTGTTAGAGGATCTAACTAAAATGTTTTTTATTTTTTTTTATTGTACAAGGAGGCTAGGATTTGATTTCTTATAGTGTTTATGGGGGTAGTGGGTTGGTGATTGAGAATTTTTGAAGAACGAATGAAAAACTAGAAGGAAGAACTCATACATAATTTTATGAAGATTTGAGCTTA